GTTACGTAATGAAGTGCGAGCGCGTTTGATTGAAAGTCTTACCTATTTCAAATTAAACATCATACAATCTGTGATAGGATATAAATCAATTAAAGCGGATCATACTTAACATACTGAAACAACATGTATCAGCCACTAAGCAAAAGCTCTAGCGATTTTCCTGTTGTAGGATTGAAATAGTCCAATGGCTGTAAGAAACTATGAGTACCATGTGATATTCCACTCAAGTTTGAAGACATTTTTCCGTATTTACTAACGGTTTTACGTCACACAGATGATTTATAACCTTGCAAGTTAAAAAACGTTATCCTCTGAGTGAGATGAATACTGTGCTATTCGTGGGTACACACACACGAAAACTGGTTAAATTTCACTGCAACTTGCTGGCGAAGATGGAAAACATTTTTCTTTGTGGGAGAACTGAAAATAAATCGAAAAAGACCACTTCAGAGGCTCAAGGGTAAATTGGTATTTGCATCAAAGAGCGATAGCAATTACAGCTTCTGACAACAAACTCTGGCAGGGATTGTCATCAGCTTGAAGAAATATATCAACATGGCACAATGCAACAGTAATTTCTGAAAAAAGCTGAAGAAGGTAAAAGATAGCCTTTGAGACAATCAAGCCATCCTTGACTCTAAATTTAATTACTCTTGTTTTTTCTAAGAGGCGATTTTCTCAGACGCTAACAGTTGTATTATTTGGCTCAGCAATTGACACATACAGTAATCTCTGATCAGCCGGGGTCTTAACAAAGGTACAAAAAGAAATGATGATAAATTGGTTCTGTTCTGCTTTCATCGCGAATTTTTTTTTGTGAGGATTATAATTGGGTGTTTGAAAGTGTTAAAATTGTGGATTTTTTTTTCGCATGTAGTAAGGGTTTTAAAGTAATTTTCCTTCTGCTTGAATATGGCAAGGGATATAATTCATTTAAACTATACATAGTGTGGCTAATCTTGTTCAGCTAATCTTGTAAGTTATATTTCCACATGTCTAATCATCCTTGATAAGCAAGATGCTTTCAAAAAGGTATGAACAAAACAAAAGAACGAAGGGTTAATAGACCATCTCAAAGGTTGTTTTGAAAGTAATATTGAGTAATTGGGAATGGAACTACTGAAATTGTAAGTCATTTTTTCCCTGGTAGTAAAAGTTCGAGATTAATTATCACATTACTCGAATAAGGAAGGCAGAATAATTCGATGAAATCCTGAATGGTGTTGTTAGTCTTGGTTTATATCATTTTTCCTAAAAATTCTGATCCAGGAGAATGATTTTCTGCAATAAAGTACCTTAACTGCGACTCTTTCTTTGGCATTTTTATGAAATTAGTGTTCCAAAAATGCCATCCATTTTGATTTGTGTTTCCTATAATCTCCGTTTCTTTGTCTCTCCTTTCAGCCCATGAACCAACTATGTCGGAATGGAAACGACTTTTGGTAAATCGTCCGAAATTAAAGGAGGCTAACAAATTTCCTTTCGCGCAAAGTATCGCAACTTTCGAGACCTTCCATGTAAATTCCCGTGCTACAGTTCTTGGCGATTTCGATGTATCACACAATTGACGGCGACACACACAGACTGGGGAGTTCAGAGGAAGCTGAATTCCATTCTTCTATTTTCGTTCAAATCGAGAAATGACCCCTATCTTTCATATAAAAAAGTATCAAGGGAAGGACATTTTGACTTTATCCATACTGTCCTTTCATGTCCTCACTTAACAAAATTTGCAAGTTTTTACTTTGTGGAGTCCTGCAAGCTGTGAATCAATCCAGTTTATGCATCATTTTCTCATAGCGCAGGATCTATATCGCATTTATTATCACGGAAAGGTAAGATCTGTTATTAGAAGATCAACAAATGCGTTCGAACGATCGAAAAGGTACTTTTGTTAATTGTGGAAATTCTGCAAATAAACTTTGACAAGAGTGATATCTCTACAAATACATTGATTTGTATGAATTCTAAACAGTTACTGGGAAAGAGGTACGAAACGATGCCGGGGTGAATTTATTTGAGCATGATATGCTTTCATGTACCTTTCAGTTCGATTTAGACTCTAATTTTGAGTTCTTTCCTTTAAATGGATCAATTTGTTTACGCAAATTAATATTTTAGGAAGGGTCTCCCGAGATCTCGCTGGCATACATAAAATCCAATTTTAATTTCCATATTTTGTCTTTAAACTACCTGAATACATCTAATGATTTTGAACTAAGTAGAATTTGGAGAATAACAACATTTTAGACGCTGTGCTTCACAAAATCGTCAAGTTTTTATTTTGGAAAAAATTCCTCACAGTTTATGGCCAAAAATTAAACTTTGATCATTACAAATGTGTTTTAAACTCTTGTCATGAGCATGAACTTTCACTCTGTCCCAATGGCCAAAAAATTTCATTAAAATATTCAGACAAGAATACCTCAGATAAATCCAATTGCGCCTACTGTCATTCATCATAGTTTTTTTTTATGTTGCCAATTTCCGCGAGTGACGTTGTTGTGTAAACAAAGGCATACAGTTGAAGTTGATGACTTTAGCTTTCAGCCAATTATGATATAGCGTGTAGGGGATCAATTCCAGGCTCGTATAAGCGACTTTCGTATTAACTAATTGAAATTTTAACGGCATAAATTTACATGGAAAGGGATATAGGACTAGAAATCTATCCAGATGTCACAAGACAGGTGAGAATTAGCTTACCACTATTTTAATTCCAACCTTAGTCTGTTGACACGAGTATTTATCGTTAATTCTGACATACGCCAACATCGGTTAGTCGAATCGATCAGGAAAACCAGTATCTCCTGGATCTACTGCAAAGAAAAAGGTTGGTTTACCCTAAATATCAATTCAAGCTTAGTTCCCTAGCTTTCTTTTACTGATTGTGTTTGCATCGCAGGGGTCAGATTAAAAACGTTTCTCAATTTTGAAAGCGTTATACACGTCTGTTCTTACTAACGTGCATTGCGGAGGTAGACGATGTATTTCTACTGCAATTAGAACTATGATAACAGACTGTAAGATGGATTTGAACTAACATACAATTTCTGCAATCACATGAACAAAACTAAGCTCTACGTTAGTTGTCTAATATATCAAACCTCCTCCTGCCATGATACATGTTTGTTCAATCAAAGTGATTGGATTCAAATGATAAACAGAGTTGCAGCTATGAATAGAAAGTTTCAGTGTATTCGCTTCAGTGACAATATGGAATATTGCTCTGATAACAATCGAAGACCAGAAACGTGGATCTTCTTTAATTTCTTCGACGATTTGAAAAATTGAAGTTGGCAATTTTATGCAGTGCGAACCTTGTGCTCTTCGCACAAACAAGGGAGGCACACAAAATAGTAACAAATTTCATTTGACCTGCGGATGAAAATGACAATCGAACACAAATCCAGGTAACTAAAATATCTCTGGGATTCATTTGCTAATAACACATATAGAGGAAATAATCACAAATGAAACCATCAAAGCGGCAACAGAGTTAGAAGCTTGTGCAAAGAATAGATGATTAGTTTAGTTTAGTTGATGTACGTGATCAAAAGGAACAAATTTTTCGGCATGGATTTGTTCAAACCTGTCATGCCTATTCCTCACCATATTTTGTGGGTCAATTTTATACAAATTTTCCTTAGATCAGCCTTACTAACGGCTAAACGGAAGTCGCCTATTAACAAGTCGATCTCTTCGAGTTATGATTAAAATGAATTTAATTAATATCTACAGCGGCTGCAATGTCAAGTGTAAATAAAAAATAAAAATAAAAGTGCAAAGATATATTCCTTGCTACTACTGACACTTGATATTAGTTATTTCAATTATAATTTTTTTTAATCTTTAGAAAAGATTTCAACGTGCTTTCCGGCAGAGTTAATGTTCACTGTCAGTCTCGTTGTTTACTTACTCTACTTTAGTATGTAATGTTTACCACTGTAGATCAGGGTAAGCCATGGTAAGCCATGGTAAGCCAAGCCAAGCCTACTAAATTGTACGAGCCTGGAATTCACGGATGTCTTGGATGGGTAATCTTGAAAATCTTTCCTGACCTATCAAGGAATTAGAAATAATTTAATAGGTATATTCAAATTATAGTCACAAGACATGTCAGCAGTGAATGATAAAAATGTATAATAACAATAATGCAGCCAAACGAAGGCTGACTCTTAGGTCTCCCAGTTTGCCGCTCTTTCCCCGGTGTCCAATCAATGAACTCAAATCCTTGCATTGGTGATCACAAAAAGATGAGGGAGCCGAAACTTCTCACGTTATTCTCAACAGAGTACACGAAAATTTAACTCAGGTTTTGAAAATCTGAGGTTCGAACATTCCTTGACAGGTCCGCTTTTCAGCTCTGTCACCAAAATGTTTATCTTTATCACGAAGGAACACAGAAAAATAATTTTTTGTTTTATTGACTAGCACGTGTGTGTGGATACAAAGTGTGATGCAGCCATAAAAAAAGGTATGTGCGGATGGTGGAACGAGAAGGCCTAACATCACGACCAAACTTTATCATCTTGTTAAAATAACCGTATTTTCTTACTTATGCGCTCCGCTATAACTCTTAAAAAATAAAACAAATGTATTTTTTAGCGCCGGGATTTATGTTGTCGATATTTGATACCGTTAAAAAACGTTGTTTTAACTCCATGTAAATCATCATTTGTGAATACGGGACAATATTTTGATATTTAAAAACTGTTCTATGAAATTATTATATTTCATGAACCAGAAAATGAAATGAAATGGAATTTACAATTCCAAGGACCCTCTCATTCTATCCAAAAAAATGAAGAGTTTTCAATGAAGTCAGCAATGATAACCACTGTTCGCGATCCAGAGGACGTATGTTGCCCCTTTGCAGCAATAAACGCTGTGGCCCCCATCATAGCTGTTTTTTTAATTTCACACAGGGCTCCACCGGTTGCATAGCATTCCCGGAGAATATACGACAATTTGAACATTTACATACATGCTTCATTGGGATGAGCAAGGGATCACGTTCAAGTACTTCTATGTATTCGAGGTTCTGGTTGGTAATTGCATTTTTGACTTATCGCATTCGTACAAATAAAGTTAGTGGTCAGTGTCACACAGCGGAATACTCTGTGAGAGGAATGTACCTCCGTGGTCACACGTTTAAAAACGTCCAAGTGGAATTACATGAGACGTGCTACTTCAAGTGCACGGAAGAAGTCACATGTCAGAGCTACAACTTCGTCATTGGTCTTAACATATGTGAGCTAAACAATCGTACAAAGGAAGCAAGACCAGAAGATTTTTTGCCAGATGAGATGAGATACTATATGAAGCGTCTTACTAACAGAGGTTGTTATCATGTTGATAGAGAAGTCTTAGACATAAGTTCAAAAAAAATTTTTTACCTCTCTTGAGCTTCTGATTTCTCCACTAACTGAGCTATAGAAAGCTTATTGGAGACTTGAGGCTATACACCACATTAGTTCGAAAGTATGGGTCTAACTAGGGTAATTTAGTATTATCAACTAAGTTGATAACGTAAATTGGCCACCGTTTCGAGTTTTAAAGCTGACGTTTCGATCGTTAGTCTTTCGCTGAATGTTATATTCTCCCACCGACGCAGCACCACAGTTTCTTTAGAAAATAACCCCCTTTATTCTTATGCCTCTTACTATCGAGTTTGAGGTCCGTTCTGTAAGTTACGGACCGGGTTTTTCCTGCTCGGATTTATGGCCCAAGCTCAACATACGTAAGATATAAATACGAGCAGAAAAAAAACCTAGTTCTATAACTTATAATAGAAACCGAGAAATAAGGTTAGACATTTCTTATATCTGTAGGATCAAATGGAGAGAGAAGATTTCAATTCAAAAAAAATTCCAATAATCTATTTTTACGCATTGCAACCTATTCTCTTGTGATCAGTTACGTCTGAGACTGAAGCTAGAGGGTTCAACCGAAATTTAGAAAAGGGACTTCGCTAAACGATGGTTCAAACGACGAGGGTCAGTCGCTAATTGGTCAGTTCGGGAAGTTTACCAGCAATCTTTCATCTACTTGCGAGCGGATGTGTCGCACATTATTCATAGACCATTAGAGATGCACAGAACTTCTTCCTCGAGAAGATGACAAGTGCAAAGCCTTCTAGATGGAAACTATCTTTCCGAATTTGCAAATGAATGAATCCCTTCCTCGCATGAAAAGTTTTTTACTTAGCCTAATTTTGATAGTCAGGAGGTTTGTAACCCATTCTATTGCTATCGTATAGTACCCCTGGGATCTATCGCCGAGCTTCCAGCTGAATCGTGCACAGAGGTTAGAGCAAGTGAAGGTAATGATGTGGAAAATAAGAAACACTGGATATACTCTGATGAGAAAAGTTTACCAATAGAGGCTCTTTGTGAAGGTAATCATATATTATAGTCAGTAACCACAGAAAGGTCTGATCCTAAAGAAATTCTATCACAAAGCTGACGACACGTCATTAGATTTTGGAACTGGAAACCTATTGGTCCACTAATTTAAAAACAGCAATTTAGTCAGTTTGTCACCTTATCAGTCGACCTGTCTGTACGTTTAAAGGTCCATCGATTGAGAACCTAAGTGTTATAGGGGTATGTAATTTGTCTATAAGTTCTAACAAGTAATTCGATGCAACTAATCGCAAATAATAGTAAATTTTTATAGACTGTCCTAAAGAGTGCTGCATCGAATATACACCATTGCCCGTCCGATTGGTGTGGAATGTTCCAGTACTGGACTATAATGGACTCACGGTAACTTTATTCAGCAAACATCCAAGCTATATCCAAAACTTATGTCTACATTCAAACTGTTTATGAGTACAAAATTAATTATTGAAAAAAATAGTAACACCCACTATTAGTAGCCACGTGTTCATTTCCAGGAGGAGTAGGTCCTTACCTGATGAAGACCTCAGAAACGTTGATTGTTTGAATTTAAAGTTCTTAGTTTTATCAATTCCACTATAGGTAGCTGGCAGAAGGTAAATGGTGAATATTCTGTCTGCTTTGGAGCGAAAGATAATCAGTATGGTTCCGTGACAATCCCCAAAAGTGGACGTCTCCGAGCCATGAAGCTCATCCACAAATCAGGATCGGTATGCTGCAATCGCGTAACTGGCTCATCGTTCTGGGGTTGCACTTACAGTGCATATAATGGAAAACTGTCGACAATTATAACAGATGCTGATAAAAACGCCGTCCTACCTCCTGATGAAGACCTAGAAGGCTTTAATGTCTCACAATCTCACGGATGTGGCACCGAAAAACACTTTTACAGTCTCGATGGGACCAGCCACAATTCTACTGTACTGGTTTTTCGCAACCTTTCGAATCCGTTGTCTGTGTCACGCGATCAAGAGTTGCAGATATGGTACGGGCAAGATCTGAAAGACTGTTCGGAACGTGGGAACAGTGGTAAAACTTGTGTTGATGTGTTTGCATGGTACGAGTAAGAGAACCGTCACTCAGAAAAAATTTCAATCGAGTACCAAAAGTCAGCTTTCGTTTTGTTTTACTTCGTTCTTTGGTTTAGGAAATTCTTACCATCTCCTCAATAAATCAGATTCAATCCTAAAGCCAATCATGACTTTGCTTTTTTGTTCTTTTTGGGTTTTGCGTCCTCATCTTTTTCCCCTATTTCATTATTTTGGTTTCGCTCTTACGAACGAGCCACCGTCGAAATCCCTACTGCCAGACTAGTACATTACTTCTGAGCATTTTTAATCTGCTGATACTGAATAGTACCAGCAGATATCGAAAAGTACTAGCAGATTAAAGTAGTAACACAGAGGTTGAGGTTACTTTCCACCTCGCGGGTGTCCTTCAGGAAAAAAAACTTTGTACTCGCGCTAGTTTCACTAAAACCCTAGCCAACTATTTATCAGAAGAAAGCTTAATAACGGCAGTTTACGATAAAAATATAATTTAAGCGACTTTTCTTTTAGGGAAGTGTCAGGAGCCGGTAAGGCGTGAAACGACCGAAGATTCTCCTATTGAATTTATCAGGTATCGGATTGCGCAGCACTAGCAAAATGGCTGCACAGTCTCACTCACAAGGTATCAATCAACAAGTGTGTCAGGCTTTTTCGACCTTCTGATTGGTTTTCTAGGTATCGGCATCCAAAGTTGGAGAGGCTAAAAATATGCGTGGCATGTTACAATAGTGGACGCTATAGGATTCAAATACCAAAATTTCCCGACACAATTTCGTTTGTCATTATTCCCAGAATGTTTTGGCGAAGTTGGACAAAAATAGGTCAAATCTATATATCCTATAGATTCGCTCAAAGTGGTTGTATTCCTTTCAGATTCAAATGCAAACAACTCGCGTCACGCCAGGAGATTATCTGATTATCTCGCCTTCTGAAACCGCAAGCCAATGGGACAACGAGACCTCCTAGCGTCAATGACGATGGATCAATGTTTCCCGGGAAAAGTAACCCATTGCCAAAGGAAAGGAAAACCCGCAACAAAAATGGAAAAACCGGAAAATGTGCTGAGGAGTAAGACAACGAATCGACATAAACTTTCAAAATTACGATTCGAGGCGATTGATAACGTTTTGGTATCAAAGCTGGTACCTGCATAAAGAAAAGGAAAGCTCGTTTTTGACATCATGCATGGCAAATTATGGTTTGACGGCGACTTCTTTGTTAAAAATCTGGTGAAGCTCCGCCAGCACCAGTCGCTTTTCTTTTCTTTTTACCAAGGACTTTCTTCCACTTTTTATTTTTCTATGAGCGAAGATTTTTCCATAACCAAGAGTTTCCACGTATGAATTTTGTAAAGAGTGCGATGCATATAAAATATGGAAATAACATGAAAAACGAGCCCCAAGGTTGAGCGGTTGCCACGAAAATCCCCCAGGGTACTTGCCCAGGTCCGAGATTATGACATCTTCCTCATTTGTTAACTTTATTTGAAAACACATTTTCTAAATAACTAGGGTGCTTTTAAAGATTTCAGAAAATTTTTTTATGGAAACTTTAGGTTGAATGTTTGAATTCAGTTTAGTCAAATACAAGAAAAATCGATTTTTCGGCCTCTGAAGGTGGGAAGTAACCTTAACTCATGCAAGTCTTTATTTGGGCATCGTGGTTCACTGTTTGTGCTACAAGGTAAGCAGAATAAAAATCGTGTTTTCTCCGTCGGCTGCGCCTCGTGGCTAACGAACTTTTCGAGTGTTCTCCTAACATCCAAAGTTGTGTATTAGCTGGTAAACCGATGGAAAATGTGGTTGTGCTTAAATGACCGATAACTTTAGTGGTCCAGGTTTTGTTACGAAGGTACAAACTAAAAAATATAAAAAGATAAGTTGTGGGGTGAAACATTGAAGCTGAAATGAACCAACTCAAGGATTTTATTTTCATTTTAGGAAATACCCATAGAATATTTTTTTATATATTACGCATTAGTTAGATATCATTAACATGGAATGTTTTTCCGTCTGAGACGGCTCTTGTTTCTCTAAGGTTAATCAGACGTTGCATTCAATTTTTTTTGTTTTTGTTACTTTGGGCGTTGGAAAAAAAAACATTTTTTTAACTGACTTATTAACATAAACTATTAGTTGAAGGTAACTGTCGGGGAAGATTATGATGACCACTGCCAGATTGCAGAAGCATTCTCAGTTTTAATAGATAGCCAGCATTCCGATATACAATAGATTTAGGTGCTGTTTGAGATTTTACCTTTTTACCTTTCGAGCTTCGCCGCTGATCCCTCAGCGCTGGCACACCAAACCACCATCCAGGCAAGCTATATTCCTAACACTTTCAAAGACTTTTCAATTCAGAAAACATTTTGAAAAATTTGGGAATAAAATACTTTTTCTTGCTCGAAAAATGCCTAAAATTAGCCAAGATAAGGAAAAACCGCTGAAGTCGTAAAATTGATTCAAACTTCGAACGTCAAACTTTCCACAAAGTTAATTAATAAAATGATTTTACCTCATAAATAATATTTGGTTATTAACTCATATTGTTACTTCCAGGCGTTACATCACCTGAACGGAAAAGTACTGACAAATGCATTGATTACCTTTCGCGCGCAGGAAGAAGGCGGCGAAAGCTAATTTTCTCAATAACTGCTGGGTATCTTTCAAAAGGGCTTTAAAAGTTGACATACGTACAGTTTTCAAGCAAATATGGCCAAGCCTCGTGTTCTCCTGAATTCAATAATATAGTTGCAAAAGTGGACGGTATCGCTTTCTATCAAGTACTAAGGAACTAATGCTATCTTATATTATAAAGAGATAAGAAGCGCTCTATATCATTTACCCTATGGGAATAAGGTAAACTGTTGTTGTTAAGAGTTTCAAGTTCCCTCTTGATCCCTTGTATACTAACAGCTTGATTGTCTCTGAATGAAGGTGTCGAACTAAGAAGTTCGAAAAGAACGCTCTAAGAGCTATGTATCTTCGACAAGTTTTTTTTCCTTTGTATGAGCAAACGGTCGAGTAAAATGAATGAATAATACAACTGACAATTTGAGTTCACTCAGGCCAGTTAGCCGCCGGAATTATCAAACGGGAAAGCATAATGATTCATTCGTAATTAACTTATCCTTCGATTCACTCCAAGGGATGGATTCATTGAATGTGTCTTATTTTACCTATTTTCGACCCACTTTACTTTAGAATAAACCTTACTGCTATGGGGCGAACTGATTTCCTCCAAGTTCGTGCTTAGCACACCTGATAAAGATCTTCAGTCCCCTAGAATAATTTCTACTGAAAAACAAGCATACGCATGGATTTATGGCGCAACTGAACTGAGCCAGAACTCTCGCGGCAGCTGCAAAGCTACTGAAGACACAGGAAACGGATAAATTGGAATTATGGAGGTAGGGGAGTAACAGGATAATATTGTATGGCAGCCAGCAAAATGTAAAGGCTATGACGATAGTCATGCTCAACTTAAGCAAGTTTTGCTCTCTTTTAACTCTTTGCCTTTGGATGTCCACCGAGTGTTCTCCAGGAATCCTCTCCGATTTGATCCTCGAATACATGACAATGTAGAGCATGGTGATAAAACTCAAAGTCAAGAAAGTTAGGATACTGAAAACTGAAACTGCGTAAACACCAAAAGCACTATTCACCCAAACGTTACAAGTTTGTGTTCTATGCGAGTCATAGAGAACTACTGTAGACTCGAAGAGAAATGGAGTGCACGTGATCATCCCAATAATCCAAGTGGCTAAAATAAGAATTAAGCAGAGCTTTGAGCTGATGAAAGGTGATCGGAGAGGAAATAACACAGCTAGAAAACGATCCACTGCTATTAGAACCATACTTTGAAAGGACACAGTTACAGAGACATATGGTAAAAAGACAACCAGCTTACACAAGGTTTGGCCAAGAGAACCACCGATCGTCCAGGAGTCCAATAATCTTTTGGTTACACTGAGCGGTAACAGGATAATCGAAAAGAGGAGATCAGACATGGCCATGTTGACAATGAAAAAATTGATTGGTCTTCTCATGTTTTTCGTTCTGTTGACAATTACACCGATAACGATGTTACCACCCAATGAAACAACAAATGATAGGCAAAGAGCGAAAGTCTCACCAATTTTCTTTGCCGGAGGATCGAAACAGCTCGATGTCCTCACCAAAGAATGGGAACCATTCAGTTTTAAACTCAAGTTTGGGAACATTTTCTAACCCAAACTCTATCACGTCATTTTTGCTTAGGCTGTGTTAGCAAGACTCCCCTGCATCGCCTCAGATCGTCTTTGTTCCCTCAATTAGTTTTATTTTCCTTGATATCTTCTCAAACGCTAACAGCTGTGTTCATATCGTGAACATTTTACAATTAATCAGCCGGAATCTTTTGTACAGCTGTCAAGAGAAAAAAACCGAATTACCGGACAAGACAAAAAAGCAAAAATAGACCCTTCCGAAAGTTTTGTTTTAACTGACATTTGACATTTGGCAACGAAATAATTAAAAATGTCCAGCTATCTCTCCATGCTGGATAATGCGCACGCCAATTACATTCTGCCAAAATGATAGAAGAAATATTGTATTTTGCAACACTCTAAACCTTTTTGACGACTTAAAAACCAGCTGGTGATAGCTGGAATACATTATTTTTTGAGTGAAATTTTACCCCGTATCTTATTTAACTTAAAATGTTATCCCAGACACGCCATTTTTTTCTCAAACATCAATGCCATAAATCTTTTACTGACCAAAATATTTTCACCTCTGCTCCACCTTCATCATCTTCAAACTAGTAATGTTACAGTACACCTCACCCATGCATATTAATTTTAGCTCTCATATTCCCCCAGTCTTTTATTACTCCACTCATCCCATTGTCAATAAAAGAGGAGAAACTCGAAGGGCAACACTGAGCGATTTATGGGAGTATCCATATGGAAACCTATTATGTTTGAATATTTAGCTAGGTGCTACTGATTATTTGTCGGCGGATGTTAAAGAAAAATGTTAACACTTTTTTTCGAAAACCATAACTGGAGGGACCAAATCAAGGCTTTTCTGATTAATTTTTGGATCACGCACTGACAATGTTGACATAAGTTAGCGTTCGTTCTCCCGCAAGTGTTTAACCCTTTAACTCCCATGAGTGACCAAGACAGAATTTCTCCTTACAATATCAATACAATATCAAACAGATAAGTGATGGGTAGAATGAAAAATATCAATTTGGGGATAATTAGTTGATCCACTACTAAATTTTCTGAACTAACATTATAAGAATTGTATGGTTGACAGTAAGGAGAATGACAAATGTGATCTGGAAGTTAAAGGGTTAAGCTGATTTAAAGTTCGAAAATATATATGTATTCTTCACTTATAAAGAGCTGTAACTCAAGGCCTTCGAGAGAGTAAGGCATCGCCTAATATTCTCTTTGTTCGCCAAATCATCATTGTTTCCTTCATGACAATCTTTTAAACAGTAACAGCTGTAATCTGATAGAAAGTTTTACATATGTTAACTTTTCCACATCCGTGCCAAGCTAATCAGTAGTCAAAAATAGGTAAAATCATCGTCTTGCAGAGGCGTTCAGCTGCTGCCATAGGAATAGAGATTCTCAGACGCCTAAGGACACCCTTGCTGACTACACGCTTAATATGGTTTTTAAAACTCAAGTGTTTATCAATCATGATTCCAAGATATCTGGAAGAATCAGATTCCATCAAAGTAAGAAGATCTAGTACAGGATAAGATTACATTCCCCTTTCGCTTCATTCTTTGGTGTGAGCTATGAATTACAAATTCAGTTTTGCTCATATTAGGAAAAAGCTTATTTTCTTGCATCCACGAAGAAATACGTTTGATATCAGTGTTTTTCATAAAATATTTTATGAAGGTCGGCAGCTGTATCCTTCTGGCGAGATGTTACTTCCTAAAATGGTAGGGTCTGTTCAAACAAAAAACAACAATGACAGATAAATTGGTGAGGGAGACAAACAGTAGCGCTGAATCCAACCAACTTGAAGGTTTTTGAAATAACTCCTGCAGAAAAGTTCTCCTCGAGCTGATTACTATTTCACTTGATTTAGAAAGGAATCCTTAAGTACGTTTGGGTCTGCATTTATTGTGAAAACCAATCCTGCCCTCTAATGACCGTAATCTGTAGGCGCCTAACAGCTTGTACACTTTGTTATTTCAGCGAAATTAAACTTCACCTCATGCTGCTTTCCCCCTCAAAGTGGATCCGAAATAAAAATTTCCTAAACATGTGTCACTGAAACGAAACATTCTTTCCATGTGCCTTTTCTTCGACATTTTCATTTCTGGTTTTTTTTTATATTACCACACGCCCTTTTCATTTCCTATCAATCAGAATCGATGTGGTCATAATTATCGTAAAAAGCTACCGTAGGTAAATCGTAAGGCCTATGACCGAAAATGCGGGGTCTGGGAGTCCTTAGACAGACACAAATAATATTTCCACTAGATACATTTAACAAATAATCAAGCCTTGACTGTGCTCTTTTCTGTAGTAAAGCACGCAGGGAGCCACTAAAGCACGAAAGAAGTGAGTCTTGAGTGCTCTAACCGCTTCCTAAAGGCTTCTTTGTTTTACTTTTTCTGTTTCAGTTTGTCATCTTTAATGGTCTGACATTCTGACGGCTTTAGTGTTATCCAACCAATCAAGTTATTTGAACCACTCTAACAAGGATTCTGATTGACTTATTGTAACGTGCTTTATAAGATCACACCACCGCTGTTAGTTTGGAAAATAAAGTTTGCTTTGAAAACTATAGAAATGCGTGGGAAAATCAATGCTTTCTGTCCAATTATATCGCCCTTTCACAATATTCCGGAACATTCTTAAACACAGCGACCAAGATAGTCTCGGTATAACGGTATGGCGAGCTCCTGAATTGACTTGCTTGAACAAAAACTGTCCAAAATATTTCAAGTATGACTGGAAAAAGCCGATTTGGCCGTTGGAAAAGTCATAGCGGTACATTTAAAGAATACAATTTCTGCACAAGCTGTAAGTTGAAGATAACTATTTTTCAGAAGTGCTAGCTCGTAGAATACAAAGTTTGTGAAAAAATATTTGCTTGGCATTTTTGATTACGTCAACAAACAACAAACTTGACCATTTCTCACGAAGGAAAAAATGTAACAAATTATTTTTCTGCCCATGACATTTTCTAAACTCTTTTTTAGAATATCTTTCATGTGATGAAAATTGAAACATTGCACAAAGCTAGTACATCTAAGCTGCCAAAAAGGTAATTCAAAGTAATGATTGTCTAAAAAGTTTCATATCATTATGCTTTCTAAAGTAGATAATCAATACATGCGATAAATGCAAATGAGGATTACTAAACTATATCGCATTGTCCTTCAGAGTGAGGTTTTTTCTTCCTAAAAAGGTATTCTAAGCCTGAACACAAAAACCAAGAACTTGTACCAAGATAACGATATGCACTGTTGGTTCGCACTTGAAGAATTTATTTTATCATCATTATCATTATTATTTAGACACGCAGAGTAATTTTGCTTATCAGAGGAGAGGAAAATATGACTTCATAACTCCAATGGAAGGTTCTATCATTTTCTATCAAACCATTAGTAAAGAATATTGCTCTATCTCAATCTGTGGAGATAGATTACCGTTATTACTGTCAGCTTGTAAAACGTCATGTTAGTAAATAAACGAACAGTGTTTGTGAAAAGAACACCTGTGAGACACAGAAAGTTAACAGAATGCTGGCTTCAAAACAAACAAATTTCACAGAAAACGCATTAGTATAAAATTCTCAGGCCTTGTTCACAAACCATCAAAGTTCACAAACTGAAATTGTTAGGCAGGTCGAATTTGACACTTTGGCCAGAAGTTTTTCAGTCTGACGCAAAATCTGAAGCGGGTTAAATCTGGCTGAATTGTGGCTCACAAAAACACCCAAGTTTTATATATGACAATTTGAAAATAAACTGCTCAAGATGTTATCAGGTAGAAGTTGTTATCTCGATCGAACACCATATTCTCATAACTTATTAACAGGGAAATGTGTAACAGCTAGATGAGAGAATTAACAAACAAATCACAGTGTCGAGGGTTAATCCAGTCCGCACTTTATTTCAGGGAAATATAACAAAAGTATGTCCGCGGTCTAGACAAGTTGATAAATCCTTAAGTTAACTATGAAAATTCTTTAAATGAGTTTTGAAAAGAGTGCTAACTATGTATGTGTAAAACACACGGTTTGCGTTAATTCTAAGATGGTGGTGGGAAAAACTATACAAGCAAACCGCGAGTTAGCAGCGATGACTGCCTTTCTAGTTCGATTTAGAACTGAGTGTTGAGAATTTTAATTTGGTCAGTGGATTTTTTTATGCAGATTAAGGTTGAAGAGAAGAGTCTCCTCAGATCATGCTGGTGTACATAGGATTTCGAGTTGAAGTTTCCATATTTTTTATTTAGACCAACTGAATTCAACTTGGATTCAGTTGTACCAAAATAGAACTCGGTGCCAGAGTTTTCCAGTCGCAGTGCCCAAGAAAATCTGTCATCTACATATTGTGGATATGATCCAAAAAAATTAGAAATAATCCGTAACTGTTTTGACAAATGTGTACCAAACTGTTCATAAGCAAAATATGTAAAGGAAAGCTTTTTTTCCGCTCGCGAGGTTGATAAGACAGCTTCAATGGGAAGTGTCATTTAATTACTTAAGGCCTTTCCTTTCCTGTCATCACCAACATTTTACAAGTGTAGATGGTTTGTCCGACTTGACAAATTTTGGCCGAAGCGGACAAATCTTCAGATGCACCGCCGATAAAATTTGTCTGCGAGAAAAACTGGACAAAATCGACTAAATAAACAAAACTATGATAAACTTGTCAATCACTTGCCGGAAAAGCTACGACCAGCGTATAACTGAACTGAAATCAGTTTACTAGAAAGACGAAAATTGTCTTCTGTTGCACTACTTGGGGATTCTAATATGTTAAAACTACTTAGAATAAATCCTGAAATTTGAAGTGAAATCCTTAGGTAAACTATGCTGGCAGGTCTTACACGAAGAGATGAGGCGTTAACGGAATTTGAAGGCTTTGAAAATTTTAATGTAGATGCAACAGACGAAACAAGAATTTGTCACGGCAAAATTTGTTCTTCGATTTTGTCGGGACAATTCTAGTTTTGCTTACTGGCGTGGAAAGGCCCTAAACAAAAATATCTCAGATAAACCCACCTTACAGTCTCTTATCATTTTTTTTTTCTCTGTTGCTACTTTCCGATATTATATATTAGGTAAAGAGAGGCATACTTTTGAAACTTATTTCGTCATTCTCATAAGATTATTTTACGCATTTCGTCACTGTCGTTCCATTGTAAGTGATACACTACTACTCAGGAAACCCATACTTTCTAAGCCCCATGGTTTCTTAATTTGGGCTTCCTCGCTATATAGAATATCTGTAATTCTCTGCTGGCAAATTTGAAGAAAAATGATAAAAAAATTATGACTTTTGCTTTAGGTGTCAGCCAAGTGCGAATGTCAATTTCGGCCCGTACAGGCGGCCCTTTGATAAACCAAGTAAAGTTTTAATGAGAAGAAGTTGTCCTATATGGAAAGGAATCCGAGACGACAATCTATCCACAAACATGATATAAGACAGGTGACTGTTAACTTATTACTATTTCAATTTCAACCTTATTGTGTTTACCCAAGAACTGATAGCGTTTATTCTGACAGATGCGAATGTCGGTCAGTCGCATCATTTGCGAAAACCAAGATTCCTGGATCTACTTCAAAGAAAAAGGTTAGTTCACCCTGAATTTCAATAATACTATAGTTTCCTTGCTTTCTTTCATTGGTTATGACTGCATCGCAAGGTTCAGAAATAATTATCAAGAACGTCTTTCAATTTCGAAAATGTTAGACGCGTGGTTGTATTAAGGGCGGGTGAGTGAGTGGCGTGTACTACGGAGGAACACATTGTACTTCTATTGAAATCAGAACTATAATAACTGAGATGCATTTTACGAACGGTGAATTATATACTCATATGAACTAAGCACGTTATCTAGCATATCAAGCATCTCTTCCTGGGGTGATACATGTTTGTTCAATCAAAAGAAGTGATTGATGTCAAATGATAAACAGAACTGCGGCCATAAAGAGAAAGTTTCAGTGTAGTCACTTGAAAATAAGGATATGACTCTAAATTTCCTTAATTTTGTAGACAGTTTAAATGGTACGAGTTGTGATATTTAATGAGAAAGGAACCTTGTCCTCTTTGAACAAACATAAGGCACACAACAAATTCAATATTGATTTACCTGATCCTATGTTTCTGAAAACAAAAACTCTAGGAAACATTTGTTTATAACGTATAACGAAGAAAAAAGTCAGAAATGGAATCAACCAAGCGGCCACTGAAATAAAGGATTTTGGCAAAGGAAAAAAAAGATGATGATGATGATTTTAAAAGGCGATCAACAAATTTTAAGGCGTCGATGTGTCAAAAACGGTTACGCTTATTCCTCGCCATCCTTTGTGGTTCATTTAAAGCAAATTTTCCTCAAATCGGCGTTCCTAAGGACTAAACGAAAACTGCAACATTTACAACCGCCTTTTTAATAAAAGATAAGAGGTCGTTCTCCTTGCATTTTAATAAGAATGAGTTAAACAAATTTCTGTCGTGATTGACGTGTCAGTTGTAGATAAAATATATCAAAGAAAGCAGCGCCACTTTCAAGTGTCAACTCAATCATGAGTCTGTAATAATTCCAGAGATCTTCCTTAAAATTAATTATCAAATGATTCAGTGTGATTCCATGCAGAGTGAGGTTCAATTTCAATCAAGTTATTTACATCCTTCGCTTTAGCATGAGAAATTTCCGACCCTAGTCTAAAAAAGTGAAATTAAATAAACGAGAAAGAACTCGTGTAGATCTTATTATGAAAGATAAGCCAAGCCATAACGTGCTGGTCGGATTTTATTATCCTTCACTCGGCCGAACAATGGAACTAAGCTGTACTCAATGCCAAATGGGATGCGCCCTTAGATGGGTGACAGGAAAAACTCTCTCAGCCTATTACGTACTTCACCAATTTTTCAACAGATTTGTTTCAATCTTCGTTAAAAGACATGTTAGCAGTAAAATAATAATAGCAATGATAATAATATTAATAATGATAAAATTAATAATAACATTCAAGAGGTTGTGGTCTCTCAGAAATTCGGGAAGCTAAACTCTCACGTCTTCATATTGACCACTCTTTTGCCGCACGTCAAACCAATGAACTTAACTAAATTCTTTCAAGGGCGAAAGAGAAAAGATTTTAATACCGAAACTTCCCTCGTTTTTCTTTATTTATCAAACAAAAATAGCATATCCTATTTAAACCATACTACTTTCCATAGCCACCTTACAATAAAGGTAGAATTCTCCAAAACCAGTTAGGAAAGATTTATGACAATCAGTATCAGAGCAAAATATTACCTCCATTTCGTTTCCAATTTCGAGTCTTTTATCTTTCACTAACCATTCTGTAAAGTTGTAGTCGGCCAGTAAAATCGGATAGTTGGCTGTAATCGGACACCACCTGTAATCGAACAGCTGAAATAGCTGATCATAACAACTACTTTCAGCCAAATCCACCAATCACAGAATTGATCACAATTAATAAGGCAACAACCACTTATCCTAAAAAAAAGACTGTGGAACTTCCAAAATTGAGGAATTTTTTACTTTAGACATTCTCTCTAACAGAGATATTTTCCTTAAATGTATTTGTTGTTTTCAGATATTGTAACGGTTGTGATTAATTGGTAACAGGACTTCGTGTCGTCCAATTCTGTCTGCAATCATATTGGTGAATGGTGAATCGGAGTCCCACTTGGCGGTCGTCCGAGTTCCAGTGTCAATCACTCGCACGGTTGAAGACCGAATTGGAATCCACTCGGTCCTATTATTATTATTATTATTATTATTATTTTTATTATTATTATTATTAATATATGTCACTGTAGTCTCCCTCACGGCTATCCTTTTGGATGTCAAGCAGGGCTCTACCAGTTGTGCGACACTTTAAAAGACGACTAAAAATGCAGTATAGCAGCAGGATGTAACTAAAAGAAGTGAACACGTCATACACGTTTAGGATCAATGCTGTTTCGTTCTCTGGTAAGAGCAACAGACTGTGTTCAACGAATCTCTATGGACCCCAGGTTCTGGTTGGTAATCGCCTTTTTCACTTCTTGGATTCGTGCGCGTAAAGTTGATGGGCAATGTCACACAACGGAGTACTCTGTCAAAGGAATGTATCTTCGAGGTCACACATTCAAAAACGTACAAGTTGGACTGCACGAGTCCTGCTACTTCAAGTGCACCGAAGAAGTCACATGTCAGAGCTACAACTTCGTCATTGGTCAAAACATTTGTGAGCTAAACAATCGTACAAAAGAAGCAAGACCTGAAGATTTTTTGCCAGACAAGACGAGATACTACATGAGACGTCTCACTAACAGAGGTTATCATATAAAAAGAGAAGTGTTACGCATAAGTGTGTCTCAAACAACGAAGCTTTTCTATGAGCTTCCGATTTCGCGATCCGATACTCTATCAACTAAGCTCTAGAAAGCTTGCTTCGCGAGCTAAGCTATATACCGAGTTAAGCTATATACCGAGCTAAGCTATATACCGAGCTAGGTTTTATTCCCATGCAAAGGGTTATTTTATCGTTCTAATAACTTTCTTTGGACTTATCGTTTTTTTCCGTTTTGATTTTTTAAGTTTCCAATGAACAATTTCACATTATCCCTCTTACTGAGCCGCATCTTACAATCCACTCGCTTTTAGTTAGAGACCCATGGTGCAAGGTAAACGAGAAATAACACAGTTCAGAAGATGAGTATTAGTCGCCAATTTGTCAGTTAGGGAAGTTTTCCAGTAACCTTCGACTTGCTACTGCCAGTTTTCCGAGCTGACATCCGAAACTGTCGCACAAGACCAACTCCTATGTTCTATTAACCCGTTTCTTTTTAATATCGTATAGTATCCCTGGGATCCATCCCACAGCTTCCAGCTGAATCATGCAGTGAGATCATAGCCAGTGAAGGAGGTGCGGTGGAATTCAAGAAATACTGGATACACTCCGATGGGAAGAATGGGTCAATTGAGGCTTACTGTGAAGGTAGTCTGATTTGATTTGTAAACCTAATATACTGCATCCAACAACGGTACTGGTTCTGACCAGTGATTTCGATGGAACTGATTACAAATATGGGCCTAAATCAAACTGTTCAAAGGCAAAGAAACAGTCACAGTCTCCGTTGTGTTTCCTGTGAAACTCCCGAGGGACTTTTCCCTTTATCCAACCTCGGGGTACTTTGCTCGGGGTACTAAGGCTGATTCAGGTCTAAGGATGATGTAGGGGCTTAGAAACAGAACTCCTGACAAGAAGAACACCCCAGCCACATAGATTGCTTACAATTACATTAATATTTAATTTATTACAGGTGGCTGGCAGAAGGTAAATGGCAAAGATCCAGTCTGCTTTGGAACCAAAGGCAACATGTACGGTTCCATCAACATCACGAAAACTGGACACCTCAGGACAATGAAGCTCATTCACAAAAATGGATCGCTACATTGCAATTCAGAAACGAGTCCATCTTTCTGGGGCTGCACCTTCGCATCATATGGCAAAAACTGTCAACAATTATAACAGATACCGGAAAAAATATCGTTCTACCTCCCGTCGAAGACTTAGAAGGTTTTCCTGCCTCAAAACTTCACGGGTGTAGCACCAAGAAACACTTCTACAGTCTTGGTGAGACTAGTCACAATTCTACAGTGCTAGTTTTCCGTAACCTTTCCAGTCCATTGTCTGTGTCTCGAAATCAAGAGTTGCAGATATGGTATGGGCAGGATTTGAAAGACTGTTCGGAAAGACAGAACAGTGGTTCAGCTTGTGTTGATGTGTATGCATGGTACGCGTAAGAGAACCGTCACTCTGCCCGTCCTTTCTCTTGTTACCTGTGGGCATCTGTAAGACGCTAATACTGTATATTACCAGTTTACATTTCGTATCTTCGTAAAAAATGCCTTCCTGAAGTCGTACAAGCCTTAAGTTGAGTTTGCTACTCTAAAGGCTCACTGTTTGCGCAACAAGATGAGCAAGAGAGTAATTTACCACAACACTTTAGCATGCACTATCTCAGCATTAATCATAACCATTACTATTTCCTTAAATGTGATTGGTGTACTAACCGCTTTATTTTTCACAAATTGCTTTGTAATAATGGTAATAAGAATGAGCGGAGTCTTGCAATTCGGTCTGTAATCATATGAGTGATTGACAAAATCGGACTCAGACAGAATAGGACGACACGAAGCCCTGTAACCAATTAATCATAACCATTACAATTTCCGAAAAAACAAACTTATCTGGAACAAATATCTCCGGTGAAGACAATGGCTAAAGTAAAAAGTTCCTCCATTTTTGAAATTCCCCAGTTTTTCTTCGGAGAAGTGGTTGTTGCTACAGTTATTGCGATCACTTCTGTGATTGGTAGATTTAGCCGAGTGAACTTGGTATGATTGGCTGCTTCAACTGTCCGATTACAGCCAACTCACAGTCTTCGTTTCGTCCAATTCTGTCTGTAATTATACTCGTAATAAACAAATCGGACTCCCGCTTCGCGGTCGTCCGATTTTATTAATCATTCACATGATTACAGACCAAATTAGACTCTTATTACCATTATTAATACAATAACAAGTTTGAACCAAATTGAAGGTTTTTAACTCCCAAATAAAACTTTGATGGTAGTTCCAAGGTGACTGTTAACAGTTAACTTTCTTGTGTGTAATCAGTTACCCATATGCCACTAAAAATCCAGTTAGTTGTTGCACAAAACGGTTCAGAAGTAGGAAAGGTGTGATAGAATCTAAGAGAATTGCTGCTCTTCGTTGGGACACCCTATGCTTTTAGAAAGACGGTCAAAGGTGAAAGTTTAACTTGTTTACGAATATATTATCATTGTACTTATTCTTATCAATTTTATTATCGTTACTATTATTTTTTATCATTGTTTATGTTATTGCTTTGCTATAACTAGTGAAAAGTGGAAACAATGACTATTTTATTAAAAAGCTGAACTTTGTACAGGAATTCCGTTGGCGTCATAGCGTCACGTGAACTGTTGAAGTGCAGTTTTAACTCTGTGAAGACATAAGGAAATAAAACTGTTAATAAAAGGAAAAAAGAACGAGATATAAGATGCCTTTGAACCACAATCTACTCCCGAAAAGTCAGTGTACACTGTAATACTCCATACCATGAAGGAGTACCGTAAACACTTCCTACTTGAGAAGCCCCTCTCTCCAATGAGCCTCCCTCCCAAAAAAGCCTCCTCCAAAAAAGCCCCTCTTTCCAATAAGCTCCTCTCTCTAATGAGCCCCTTTCCCAAAAAAGTTCCTCTACAAAGAAAGCCTCTTTCTCCGATAAGCCCCTTTCTCCGATGAGCCCCTTTGTCCAATAAGCTCCTCTCTCCAATAAGCCCCTCTCCCAAAAAAGTCCCTCTCTCCAATAAGCCTCCTTCTCCAATAAAGCCTCTTTATCAAAACACAAAACAAGTGTCTGCTCTTAGTCCCTCTCCTTGAAACAAAACTTCAAAATAAAATGCACAAGGTAAGATGACGATGCACCACAGAGGGTTGGAGAGTGCTATCGTTATTAAACGGCAAGAGGCAGCCTTTAAGCCCAAAAGAAAATTATGCTTGCATTAGAAAGGCTATATCACTACTCCGTTTTTTGCAATTTTAGCGGAAAAATAACACTATGGACGTTAAGTAATAACTATCGAAGCCTGGCAACACTTCAGTTCAAAAAATGATCCGCATTTTAGCTCCTGGTGAATTTTCAATGAGCTCTCCGACAAGAAGCCCCGGTAATAAATCGCATCCCCATGTGCTTGTTAAAGCTTGAATTTATGCCTATAGTTTGTTCTCCGTACGTACGGTCTGTGCTATATTTCTCTAATTGCATCTGATTCGCAGCGGCCCTCCAAGCGATGACTTGTCTTTTAAACGATGTCTACATTTCTTAATTCTCGAAAACAAAAACGCGAAACTGAACAATCCTCTCTCAGGAAATAATGATAAAATATTCGCCAAAAAATATTTCGCAACTGTTTTGTATAGGTCAGAGAGTACCAACTGATCGATGTTGGTCCGCAAAGGAGGCCAAAGGTAGTGGCATCCGTTCTCCGTTTACCATCCGTGGCTTAACTTGAAACAAGTCCCAGATAGGGCTCTCTTGTAATCCTAAATTTAGCTCTTGAGGTACCTTTACTGTTAAACCTTCCGACAAGAAATCACGGCCGTACCTTTCAAACAGATTGACGTCTGATGTTGTAAGCAGGGACTGCAGTAATTTTTGCACTCCAAGATCGCGAAGCTTTTGCTGTCTGTCCACAGCACCCTCTTCTGTGCTCCACACCAGGTTGGAGACACAGTATGTGGCTGCCATTTGTAGCTTAACGCTGTCGTTCATCATGTAATGCATGAGTCGTTTGAGCAGAATCTCGTCTCTCATAACAAATTCCTTGGCTGAGGAACCATTGGCGATGTTGGCGATCACGCACAACGCCTAGAAACACGAAACAAAATAGTAAATGAATAAATAAGTATGTGTAATAGCATGGGCCCGAAGACAATTAAAGATTAATTTATGCGTCTTTTCAAAGTTTTCACAAAATTGCCCGAGTCGCAAAGCCCGAGTGCAATAGCGATTACTTGTTTTTACGTAAAGGAAAAAATATTTGAGGGAATCGTATTCGCGCACGATGTCCGCGCGATGAAGCCCTTTAAATGCCGCCAAAAGTGACACAACAGACGTAGCTGACCAACATATTCACTGAACATCTTATTCTCAAAATACAATTAACAACGTAACACGGCTTCATTCAGTTAAACTGCAATCAGTAAATCACTGCCGCTAACAGCAAAGAGGCTCAATCAGCATCAGATAATCACGCCCTCTTGATTACCAAAAGTTCCCTCGCGTTTAAGAAAAAAATGCCCCCAACGTCAGCCAATCAGCATTCAGTTATTTTGCCCCGCATATGATAACTAAAAAAAAACAAATACTCGGTGGCATAAAGAAGACTTGCAAAAAATTGGTCCTTCTCAGTTAACGGAGGGGGATCACCTTAAAGGGGCACTTTTGCGAAGCGGGTGCTTAATCGACCACTTACAAGATGGCACCAGGTCAGGTGTTCACGAAAACTAAGGAAATTATAAATGATACAGCCAAATTGAGAAATGGGCTTCTAGTGATCTCTCTCTCCTGTACCTGTTCTTTGACATCCTCAGTGCGTGTCTCACTGTCCAGTATCGGCTTCACACTATCCATAATCCGCGCGCCATGAAGGAGCATGATACGATCAATATCCTGAGGTACAAGTAGATCAAGGAAGGAAATCGAATTAATAAAATTTGTGCTCAAATGAAGGACGCGAAAGCTTGCTCGTCACGAAGGAAAGATATACGTAATTTTGAACGAATCCCTAAAAGGAATACTGCGACACTGAACACTGCGCATGAGCCATCATGTTGGCCATGCTCCACTGATGAGGCCTGACGAGCCATATGAATTATTTTGCTGTTCAAGCAAATTATTACTATTACAGCTGCAAGAGAAAAAAATTGGTAAGAGACAGATTGAGCTCTTCCCCGTCCCCTGGCAACCACACTAACGTTGTGTTTTGTTTATTTTGTTTAATTGTTGTTGTGTTTTGTTGCAGTTGTTATTATTGTTATTTTTGGTGATATTTTAAACTGAATTCTCAAGAGCAGTGTAATATTTAAGTACTAACAAAAGATAATCTTCCTTAAATTAATCACTTCAGTGCTTAATTAATAGTTATCGGAGGGATTTTTCGTCACATACGAATTTTGTTCCTTCTTGTCAATAAACGTTTTCTTCTTCGTCTAGAATGACCTTTTAGATGGAAAAAGGCCAGTTCCCCAACGGGCCACTTGTTCTTCTTTGCTTGGATCTACTCCTGGCAACTTTATTGTTAAATTTGAGAGATGAACGTACTAACTCTCGAAAACAATTGCATTTCGCACTCTGATTTAATACGAAAAATTTTCCATGATCGACCGATTTATTGCGCTTTATCGAGGGGAGGAGTGGATTCAAGGATTCACAATGAGTCCCTCGGTCAAATAATATTTGGCAAAAAATAGCCGATGAACGAACTCGCTGCGTCGGAGTAAAACTCCAATGTTAAGTAGTTTAAAATTTGATAAACTTAATCTTGGATTGTGTAAATTTTGGCAGTTTTTTATACCTCATGCCTTACCCCAAAATAAACCCTAACGCTAGCCTCTAACAACCGGCTGGAGATTACACTGTAACCTAGCAGACGCCTGTTATTTGTTTTACATCGTATGCAAACGAGCGAAGAAAATACAAGCTGTCCAAAATGGCGAATATAAAAGAAGTAAGTTTCTAAAGATACTGTGGTGCTGCGTCGGTGGGAGAGTATAACAGGGTAATTTAGTATAATCAACTCAGTCGATAAGGTAAATTGGCCACCGTAAAGCGTTGACAAAGGCTAATGCTCGAAACGTCAGCTTTTAAACTATTTACGGTGGCCAATTTACGTTGTTGACTCAGTTGATAATACTAAATTACCCTAAACGATGATTAGCTGAATGAAAAAGTTAGACAAGTATTCAATGTGACAAAATCAAAGTAGGGGATATTGACGACCGACGCGGGCTAAATAAAACATACTGAAAGGAACTTTTCAATTACTGACAGAGTTAAAGTCGGACAAAGGACATTCCAAAGACCCCTGTCTGGATTTGAAACCTAGTGATATGACCCTCAATTGTACAATGGATCCTCCAGATTAAAGAACCAAATTAACATAGAATATATTTCAACTACAATGTTTTCTCTCACGTACGTAATCGAAATTCTTGTCTCAAACGTTTCGAAGGTTGAAAACTCGTTTAAAGGAGGGTATTGATTCGTCTTAGAGCACAATTCGATACTACATCTCCTATCTGACACACTACTACGTGATCAACCACTATTTCGCATCTAAAATTTTCCAAAATTTCTTAGAATGCTAATCGTGTGCCAATCACTAGCAAATGTCGCGGAAATACTCTTCAAGTCTTGATTGGATTATGCTGGAAACCGACAGTCAAAGATACAAATAAATCTCCCTGAATCTAACATACTTCGCTTTTGTCCGAAAGGGCTCATTTCTCAACCCCTAACTCAACTTATTTTATGGCACCAAACACTTACAAGGTTACACAGTATGTTCAACAACAAATAACTTCCGCTGAAGTAAACTTAGGTAAGCTTCAGCGGGGATTCCCCTACCCATCACATCTCGTTCACTTTCGTATTTCTCTTCGAAGAATAAAATTTAATTGGAAAAATAATATTCTTCCCAATTTTTCGTCAAAATCAACGCGATGTCTTAAGTCCAACACTCAGTAACACTAAAAGTTGAAGCAATCTCCTCGAGGAGGAACTGAAAAAAAAAAAAAAAAAAAAAAAAAAGTGGCGTGACTGGGTCTATTTATAGATGTTTGTTCCTATTATCGTCTGAGACAATCTGAAACGAAAAGTATAAATATCATAACGCAAATCATCACGTAAATCAAGTCATTTGGATCTTAAGCCCGAGGAGGACGAACGGAAAGATCGAAGGACTTCACGTCGTATTCACGCTAAGACATTCTCTCGCAGAAACAGACCAACACTGCTGAAACATTACATTTATCATTGTCAATTTAGAGGAAACGGAAGAAAAAAGAACTGGTGATAAATACTGCAAATGGATGGCTGCAAAATTTACGGCTGCGTGTTTAATCCAATTTAGATAGTCGTGACCACTACGCCGCTCTCTTGCGTTTGAAATGAAAGGATATCATCAAATAATAATTTTTGTTTTAACCTTCTGCATGGTCAAAGTCACCAGCCAAAAAAGTGCGGGATCAAAACACTGTAATGCATTTCGCCGCTGCGACTGGAAGAAGGCACCCACTCTGTTCGTGAAAGTTCCAACACAAAGGGTTGTATGTTCGATGAAGAGCAGCACGGGTGAACCATGTACCATGGACATAAGCCAGATTTTAAAATTACTATCGGCCAGCAGCGATGTCGTGCTGTACTTTGTCACCGACTGTTTAACTCCGACGCAAATTTTTTTTAACAATTCTTTAAACGTCACCAAGAAAAACATCATATCCTACATGCAGATCATGAGACATTGCCGCATTTCAGTAGAGGCCCTATCTGTCTGGGGGCAAGCCACAGATTTTCGGGTGTTCTACGCAATGGCGAACACAACTTTAATGGAAACGAACGAAACATTAAAAACTAGCTCACGTCGAGCACTGAAAAATATTGGTTCTCTTGCTATTGACAACTCTAACCCGCGAGGCATCCCCAGAATTTTTAGGAAATACGTCTGGCCAAAGATAGCCGAAGTCTCACTTTCCAATTTACAGCTTTCCTCAATCCCTACAAACCTAAATAACACCATGCCGCTACTTCAGTCTCTAGAGGTTTCTCACAACAATTTTTCAAGACCACCGCCATTTCCTTGGTGCAACACCACACTTGAACTGCCGAGAGGACTGGAGAGAACGCCAACTGCAAATCACCACTATCAATTCGGCACCATCGTTAATCCGAAGTTGTACCGACGATTCTTCGATTTGTCATATAACAACATCGTAGATTTGGCGACCCACGAATTTAAAGGACTTCTAAATGCTTTAAATCTAGAGGGAAATGGACTAAAAGCAGTTGGACCAAAGTGTTTCCTCGGTTTGAATGGAATACAAGTAATAAACCTACGAAATAACAAATTGAATGATTTGCCTTCACAATTATTCCAAGGACTCCGAAGTCTCCTGGAATTACGACTAGATCACAACAATATCTCGTCTTTACCGATCCAACTTTTTAAAAACCTCACAAATATCAAAAGAATTGACTTAGGAAGTAACAAACTGAGCTTCGTTCAAAATGAATTGTTCACCAACTTGAAATCTTGTGAAATATTGAATTTAAATGATAATCAAATCACTCTTATGGATGATGACGCTTTTCCGACCGATTCAAGTTCTTTGCAAAAGATTAACCTCCAAAACAACAAAATAACGCAGATTCCTTCATCTTTACTCCTGCAACGACATGCTACAGAAATAAATCTGTCATTCAATGAATTGAATTTTCAAGATCTTAGAAACCTCTTCAAGCAAATAGACTTAAACACGTTTTTGTACCACCATCGTGATACGGCGAGTTCAGTCCGGTTTAGACTAAAGGAAAGCTTCAATCAAATCAGCTTTGCCTATAATAAATTTTCGAAAATAAATGTCAAGACACTCAACAGAACAGAGATAGGTCTATTCGAGTTTCTCCTGCAAATTTATACAATCGACATGACTGGGAACCTCCTGAAGTGCGATTGCGATATCTTGTTTTTGACTCGCTGGCTTCGATCATTGATGCTGAAGCATCCGCGTATTCAAAATGTGCACTTTGAAACTTGGAAATGCACGGCTAATGATGAAGTTAACGATAAACCTATACTATCTGTACACGAAGACGAGTTCAAATGCCAGAGAAATCTCAAAAACTGTCCTCAAAGATGTTTGTGTTATGTACGAGCCATGGATGAAGCTGTGGTCATCGACTGCAAAGGAAGAAACCTTACTGAGCTTCCTTCCAAGTTTCCAAGAGGTAATCTAGTTCTTCATGCAGAGAACAATAACATCCGGGAGATTCTTCCACATTCCTATTTAGAAAACGTTTCAGCCCTTTATCTCACTGAAAACGATATCCATGTCGTAAACGAGTCCATAGTAAGAAAGTTAACGCAAACTAAAATTCTTTTCATTGATTCGAATAAGCTGACCAGTTTACCGCGGAACATTGAAGACGTCAATTTCACCATTCTCGCGATAAACCACAATTTCTTCAAGTGCGACTGTACAACAAAATGGATGAAGTACTGGTTGCTAAGAGAGTCAAGTAGAATTCAAAACATGGAAAACGTTTTGTGCAACTCCGAGAATGCTCAAGGGAAAGCAATTTACAGCCTACCAGATGATGAGTTTGTTTGTCAAATTTCTGCCAACGATGATGCAAATACGCCGTCCACAACAATGGGTACTGAGTATAAAGTCATCGCTTTGACTCTTGCAGGTGCGCTGGTTTTGACTCTTATCGTTTTTTTTGTGATTTTCAAGTACTGCGGAGAAATGAAAGTGTTCATGTTCACTCACTTCAACTGGCACCCATTTGATCGCATAGACGACTCTGACCCAAGTAAACTATACGATGCGTTTGTGTCTTACAATAGCAATGACCACCGTTGGGTGTCAAACACTTTATGGGACAGACTTGAAAATCACGACCCCCCCTACACACTGTGTGTCCATGACCGCGACTTCCAAGTGGGTAAAACAATACAAGAAAATATTTTCAAGAGCGTCGACCAAAGCAAGCGAATGATCATGGTGTTATCCAATAACTTCTTAAAAAGCGAGTGGTGCTTGCTGGAATTCCGCGCCGCACATCGGAAAGTTCTGGAGGAACGTACTAATTATCTAATCATCATTCTGCTAGATGACGTGAACATGGACGAGCTTGATGAAGAAATGAAATTATACATGCGCACTAACACGTATCTCAGTGTCAACAACAAGTGGTTCTGGCAGAGACTGTACTACGCTATGCCTCACATAACAGTCAGGCAAATAAGAGCAAGAAATCTCTCGAATACTCCCTCTAATGTGACATCGCATTCTGTGACTCAAAGCGTGTTCACTAATGGGGCATACTCTGTATCTTAACCTTCCCACAAGTGTTTGACATTCAACTCCACCCACAAATTGTTACTTGGTAATAGTCTAATTGGCAGCTGTTCTTAAGGATATCACGCAACATACCAAGCAAAAGAAAGAGTCACGAAAAATTCCAAAGAACGGCTACGAACGGCCATTAAAATAATTAAACAGCTCCTTGAAGAGGAGGTATAAAACAGTTCTTCGGAGGAAAAAGTTAATGCAATAAAGAAATGCTTCAGTTTTCCTTGTTACTCACCAGAATCAGAAAGTAATATTATTCGCGAAACGAAACCAAGTTAACTATTCAGACCTTTCGACAATTTACCATACGTAGGGTTCAAGTTTTAAAACATTAATATTGCGTAAATCAATGTTTATAAAAAGGTTAATTTAATATATCTTTCCCTCAACTGATTCGAAATTCAAACGACTTCTTGATTATTGTTGGGGTCTTTATGTTGGCGTTTTCTTGAAAATTACAGTTCAAGAGTTTAGCGTATGAAACCAAAAGGTTTGGTTTAATTACCCGAGTGAAGTTTGTTCTATTTTCAAACTATTCCCCTACAGTAATGTACTGTTGGTAGTTGATTGTAAGGAACATTGTGAATTTGTAAGTCGTGCATTGTATCTAACTATATCAGCAACTGTTAGAAAAAACGTTTTCTAAGTAACAACAGATAAACACAGTAGATTAATTTTGTATACGTATTACTTACGTTTGCGGAACAATGCAGACTACTTATAAAAATAAACAAAAGCGTAAGAAATCATTCAAAAAACTTGACTTATTGACTGAGTGGTAGGGTCGGTCGGGAATAAGTTTGGCCGTCGCTCATTTTTTTTTTCCTTTCTTCTTTTCGCTCGCGAGGCAGTATGGCTTCTGTACGGCCCTTGCACACCACGGCGCACGGCCCTCATACGGGTATTTCTGTACAATTTTTTCGATAACGGTTCAATTCAGTTCATAAATACCTTTAATGACAAAGCAAGCTTGGTCAAGAAAGTATTTTTCATATCAAAGAACTGCTAATTACCTCACGTCCTGACAACAGATTCCTCATCAAACCCAGCGTTTTCATCGTCACTTGTGTGTCTGGATCATCAAGAAGGCTGCAAAATGAAAACAAAAAGCTTATATTTTTTTATAGCCTACTTGCAGTGGTGTGAATTGAGAAAAAACAAACTGTACATACATACATACATTGAAAAACGAAGTCACTAAATTGCACGAGAAGAAAAACCTTGGTGTGATGGCGATCAGATCTACTGAGGTTTAAAGCAGAAAGAGGCACTCTCTAGTTTGTAGAGCTATATTTTATTGCTTTTCTGAAAGAAAGCGAATCTGATACGGGTCGAAAATTGTTCTACTGCTCCAACTATTACACATGACTTCTTTTAGACCTTTTCACAAGTTACCAACCTGAACAGCTGCTCGGGTCCCAACACTTCAAGGATTTTATTTTTAGTTCCTTCATCTGCCTGGTAAGCCATATTCTACGAAGTGTAACAAGAGAAAAAACACCTTGTTCATCGCTCGAGTTAATCACATGGCGGGATATTAGCGAGTTCTCTTATGAACTTAAACTGCGTTGTACGTTGGACTGCACTCCCAATAAGGAGAAAAGAATATTGATAATTCATAAATCTTACCATTAGAGCCCAAACCCCGTTCAATCGCAGTGCAGTTTCTGAGCGCCTGGTTAAATTTGACAACAAGTTGACGGCTCCTGCTTCTAATATGGGCTGAAATAGAAAGTGAAAATACAGTTACTATTTCAACATTTTACTTCTTGAGTGACACTGTAAGGGCGCTTGTTAAATGCCAGTTCACATTCACGATGACCTTGCTCACAATCCACATACGAGCACGACTCTCTCCACCCATGAAGATAAAGGGGAACCAAGAACTAACAGGTACACCGAAAAAAATCTTAGGAGCGAGGGGGGAGAGGGGGTAAAATTTAACTGTAATAGATTTGCACCCCTCATAGGAGGAATAGCAATACTCCCAGTGACGTCATGCCACAGGAACCATGATAAGTTCTAGCATAGTGGGCCATTTGGTTCGTACGACATCTCAACGTTTGGTGTGTCAAGTCATGGCCTTGATTTGATTGACTGATTTATTTCGCAAGAAAATATTTACAATAATTATACGTGAATGATATACGTTTTTTTTCTTATTCCTGGCAAGGAAGCTCATTTGGAAACCATGGGGCTCTTGACAATGAGCTCCCCACTCACATAGATCAAAAATAAAGTTATCATGCGTGGACTACTATTAACAAAACATAATTAAGATAAAAAGGAACGAAAGGCGAAAAATGACAGTTCAAAAAGAAAAATACAAACACAATCACACAAAAAGCACACGTGCAGACAGACTAAAGACAAAAAAACAGCAAATTATATTTACTTGAAGAGAATCAGGACAGGAGCAATGCTCGTAAATTTAAAACGAGAGACGGTAGGGGCACTTTGTATATTGTGGTTAAAAGAATTAAGTACTTTTGGTGCCTGAAATTTTATGGCAAACCGTCTTATATTAGTTCGAGCATAAAATAACCAACAGATATCAGAGTTTGTAGTATTGTTCGAATAAATTTGATTCAAATTGTAAATAAAAATATTTCTATAACTACATTAAGAAGGATGGCTATTTTATATAGAAACGCAAACTTGGCAAATTGAAATAAATATCAGGAAAGTTTAATATTTGTAAGTTCTTAAAAGAACAAAAAGGATAAGTATGAGCATGGAATGGCTTTCGTTGAAATTATTCTACTAATTTTCTCCTGAAATATGACAATGCACTCTGAGTTTGTGGGATAAAGTACCCAGACAGTGATGGGTCGATGAACGTGTATTGACTAGGCTATAACTTTCATATTTACCTCTTTACTGGGAGAGAATTCCAGCAAAAGATTACAGAGTGCAGAGGAGGCCACAGTCATCATGTTATCATTGGCGTCCTGAAGTAATTTCATAATGGGCTTCCAAACCGCCGTGTCCTGGAAACTAGTTCTTAACTGTTGCACAGAACGCGACAGGCTGTGGAGACACTTCACTGCAGCTAACTTGACATTTGTGTTGGGATCCTCTAGACCGGACACCACGTGATCCATGGTGCATTCGATATCAATAATCTGCAGAGCAAGTCATGTCGTTCAATCTAATACACTTTCAAACATTAACAAACGGTTACAAGGAAGAAAATAAGAGAGTCGGCTCCCGAATCAAAAACACATCTTGAAGAACCTTATTTTGCAGAAGAGCTTAAATCTTGTTCACTCCCAAGATCTTGTCAGTAATTCTCCTTATTATCTGCCATACAATAATTGTGACATTGGTTAAAAGAATTTAGTATTGGATCACCTGATAAAACCCTATTTGATATTTTTGCCTATCCTCATTCCTTGTCAGCTTGATTTTGTACTGATTTAATAAGGGGAAATTCTGTCTTGATCACTCAAGGGAGTTAGGTGGCCAAAAGAACTTTTGTCACCTTTTTCCTAATGTCTTCATCGTTTGCGCCAACAGAGGCAAGAGCTTTGAATGCACTCTATAAAAAATGAATAAATAGTTACATAAAAATAATAACAATAATAACAAATACAGTCGAACCCGTATTTAGCGGCACGGTATTAAGCGGTCAGTTGTCAAAGTCCCGAAGTGGAATTTTCTGCAACTTTAAACTGTAATTTTCACCTTAATTAGGCGGTCACCTCTTTCAAGCGGTAGCGGTAACCCTCTGCAAGTGAGGCTCGCCGCTAGTGGAAAAGGTTCTCGTGGGCAGAGACTAGAGATGTACGCGTCCATCAGTCGCTTACAAGAAATTGACTGGCAAACTCGAGGTTTGAAAAGGAAGGATGCGTACGTGAAGACAAATTTAACACTTAAATATGGCTCTGTGATCATTGCAGGGAAAACTTTGAATGTACTTTACCCTGGATTAAACTTCTGAAACCTTATGCAACCCTACACTGTTTCAAGAAGAATAACAACCTGAGAAAGGCTGCCCTCCCCATTTCTCCCCCACTCTTCCCCTGCCCGAATGTGGTTGTAAATGCGTGACTTTCGAACTTGCGTGACATTTGCGTTACAGTTGGCCTTTGTGCCATTTGATTCCTTTAAATAGTTTTTCTCTCCCGCTTTCATTAATCGCCTGTTCATGTTCGGAGTGCATACAAAGTTAATTTATAAAGTGTTATTTCAAGCCACCGGCGTATAGGGACTGATATGTAAGTTGTTTTCGCCTTTTTTGTTGTTTATCTCGTTTCGAGCAAGCTCTTTCGTCCTTATTTGTATATATATTTTGTGTTTGCCGTAGCATTTGGTTCATTTGTTAGTTCTTTTATTATGTTAGATTCATTTACGCTGTTAAGTCGCCACGTGTTTAATTGAATACAATCTATTATATGTCCCTTTTTAATTCGTTTACAGTTTACGAGATTGATTAAAGTTATGTCCCTGTAATATATCCCCTGGATTTGGTTGGCATTTTTCTCCGGTCACGATTTTCTTGGTATTTCATCGAGCCTTGATGTTCGTTTGCCGCAACAGTAAAATATCACCAATTGACGCCTTTGGCTGGAATTAAAATTCGTTGAGGATGAGCGATAGTGGTAGTCGATCGCCTCGAGCTACAGTTCGAAAGATCCTCTCATTGGAGAAGGAACAAGCAGAAGTTGAAATTCCGAATGAACCATGCGATTTAAAAGATCTTAGTTTAGACGAAGCCAATAGTCCTCGTGGCAGGAAACACGATCCTCCAAATTTGAGAGAACCGCACGAGCGGACTTTGAGTGACAAAGGCAGAGCCTATCAATTGGAAATTCGCGCTTTAAAGAAACAAGAAGTGGAAAACAAATTGCGTAAACATGTAGGAAGAATTTACTCATTGCTCGACTCCCACCCGGGTACCGAAGAATTAGAAAAGGAAAGACAAATCCTGGATGTAATTAAAGAGGAACTTAACCAGGCATACCGATCTTATGACGAGTTA